AGTAAATTGTATTTTAAATTTAGCTCAATATGGAAATCGTAATATCGAACAAACTAGATTCAATGAAAATTTTAGATATATTAATAGAAATATAATTCCACTTAACTATGATACGTCTCTCACTGAACAGGTTGAAACTACTTCAACTCTTTCAGAGGTAGATTTAGATACTAAAAGGTTTTTTTCAATAGAAAAATATTTCAAAAAATGTTTTTATATTTGGGAAATTGTCTTGGACAATGTTTTCTTAACTACTAGATATAATAATAAGGAGCATTTACTTGACTTCCCAGTAAGACTTGCCATCAGTCCTGGTGTTTTTATGATATTAACATTACAAACTCTACAGGTTGAAAACCTTAATTTCCATTACTATCTAATTGTTCTTGGTTACGCTATTAGTTTATTTAATTTGCTCATATATAACACTTATGTAGGCGCACTTTACTTAAAGGCATATAATTTAGCTTTATGTTGTGGATTTTATTTCCTATACTATGTTTTTATAATTGATATATCAGAAAAGCTTAATAATATTAGTTTTATTTTAGGAAATATTTTTATTTCTCTAAACCTGTTTATTCCCTTAATTGATTCTACTTATAGTAATCTAGTAAGAAGCAAACAAAGCATGCAATATACCTCATTTTTACACTTATCTATACTATCTAATCTTTTGATAAGCATTCAAAGTTTGTTTACAGGATTAATTGTTGATAATTATATTTATAGAATAAGTTTAATAATGAATATTTGTTTGTTAGTGTTCCCTATGATTTTTGGTAGGTTCAACTCCAACCAAATACCCACAAATATTTTTATTCCTATAAGTGCCCTTATTTGTTTATACTATTATTTTATTTCTATTAACTAAAGAATTTAATAAACTGTTACCCTTATTTATTTATGATAGTTAATGTTTTAAGAGAGAATCTTTACAAGGTTAAAAAGTATAAAAGAATAATAACTATAATTTTATTATTGGTATCCTTTTACTTTATCATTCCATCATTTAATCCACATAAGTTGATGTCTTTTGAATCCTGTTATGACCTTTTAAAAGTTGATGATACCCTGACGCAAAGCATAAACACCAAATTTGAAGAAATGCTGCCTAATGATACAATCTTGATTGTTACTAATGATTTAGAATTCTTTGATTATCATATTTCTAAACTTAAAATCAGAACAAAGTATATTAAGATTGTAAACAGAGATGACAATAAAAGTTACTTCTTGAAGATATTTATTAATAGATCTCATACATCCCAAGTCAGGGTCAATTTATGGAGTTTTATGGTAATTACAGAAGTTTTGTATGTTGCTAAAGCAATATTTAATATCGGTTTTGACATAAACCCGTTTAAAATAACTAATGTATGGGAAAATAGAATTTATTTAAACTTATCATATGCGGATACTAGAAAATTTTTGTTTTTTCTCCGAGTAATGTCTAATTTCCATTCTCATTATTACGGATTATACTTTTATTTACCTTTAAAAGATTCTATTATAAAAGGAGACAATTTAGGTATTTATTGCGGAATTATGACTTTAGTACATTTTTTTGAAATGAATAACAACATTAATCCATTAAGCTTGTTGATGGATTTAATCATATTTAAGAAGTGTCCTTTTGCTTTTATTTTATATTATGTAAAAAATAAAGCAGCTTACTATAGTATATTATTAATGATAACTAATTTGAAATTTGCATTTTTTTATAATCTAGGATGGTTTTGTTATTATGTTTATTATCATCTAATTGAATATTTTAATAAAAACTTTTAAAAAATTAGATCGACACTGGGACTCGAATCCAGAACCTCTTAAACCAAACCAAGTATTGTACCTTTCAACTATGTCGACTCATTAAATTTTTATTTAAGATATATATTTTATTAAAACAATATTAATCATAAAATAAATTTATTAAGATGAATATAAAAGCATTACATTAGCAATAAAAGCTTCAAGATGAAAAATTGGTTTAGTTCCTTGTAGAAGTCTAGTTTCATATTCTAATGCCAATTCCGAAAATTTAACCATTTTTTTAAATTCTTTAGGTTTTAATTCATTAAATAACTCAGTGAATAGTGTAGTTGGCTCAATACAAGAAGTATACAAATCATACAACTCTGACCTTATTTTTAAAAAATTATCAGTTGATATACTTTTCGTTAATTTGACTATATTATCAATTTTAACCTCCCAATCTAATTTATATTGGCTTACATCTACTTTATTTTTCTTACCATTTTCTTTATGATAATTGTAGACCATTTCAAGTGTGTTAATAAACTTTTTAGAATCTCCATGAGAATTATTAGCAAGATCTTCAATTAATGAAACGTCAAATTCTAATCCTTCCTTATTTAAGATGTCCATACCAATTTGTACTAATTCCTCCTTAGTAAACGATCTCATTCTTATTAATATACATCTACTTCTTATTGGGTCTATTAATCTAGAAATTTCCGTTGAGATCATAAAAACTCTAATTGTTTCAGAATGAATTTCCATAGTTCTTCTTAAGGCAGCTTGGGCATCAGTAGATAAACTTTCAGCTTTATCTATTAAAATAATA